GATGCCCTCTGATCTCAGTGGGGATACGAAAGAGCAAGTTGAAACGCTTAACCGCATTCGCCTACTAAATGAATGTTTCCGTCGCGAGATTACGAAGTTGGACTCGACCACGCAGAGCTTTGATAGCCTTGTGCAGTTTTACCTGCGCGTTCGTGACACGATTGGTGCTCCGGTGGAGGGTGCGGGAACTAAGCGTAAAGCCCCCGCTGAGAGCGCAACGGTTGGCAGTCAATCCGCCAAGAAGCCTAAGTCTTTTGATAGCGCGGTAGGCATCTCTGCTCCCGCCACTGTAGGCTCCACTCCTGCTGTGGGCGCGGCCTCGCCAGGCAAGGCATTCGCACCAACCCAGCAGTCAGGCAACACCAGCCCGACTGGTAGTAAAAGAAAGGCAACTGAGGAGCGTGAGGATGATGTGTCCTCCACCCCAGCTAAACGCGCCAGTGGGAACTCTGCGACCGCCAGCATATTCGCGAACACGTTTTCGAGATCCAAAACCGCCGACTCCGAGGAGATAACAAGCGCAGAGTCTTCTAAGCAGCAGGATGCTCCATCTTTCAAGCCTTCTACCCCAGAAAAGCCCAAAACCACGCTGTTTTCTACGACTCCCACGTCATCACCTCCGAAACCACTATTCTCCGCGCCAGCTGCCGCAAAAGAGACTTCGGTGACGGGTTTGACCTCTTCTCAGCCCCCATCTGCCTTCAAGCCATCGTTCAATGCACCAACCAACAACCAGCCGCCGGCAAATCCATTTCAAATAAAGCCTTCGGGTGATACGGATGCTGGTAAGTCGGCGGCTCCTTTATCTATTCCTAAGTTTGGCTCTGGCGACACCAATTTCTTCGCTCAATTCAAGGCAAAGTCGGATGAAAATGCTGAAAAGGCCAAAGCCGAACGCAAGGCGGAAGACTTCGACTCCGATGAAGATGACGAAGCGGAGTGGGAGCGCAAAGATGCTGAGAGGCAGCGGAAGAAGCTTGAAGAAATTGAAGCGCAGAAAAGCAAACGTCTCAAGTTTGTTCCCGGCCAAGGATTTTCTTTTGACGAAAACGACGCCGGTGATGGGGAGAAGTCGGACTCGAGCGCCGCTTCATCCTTCGCCAGTACCTCCGTCTTGGATTCCAAGTCTAGTTCACAGGCAAAGACAAGCAATATCTTCGGCCATCTCTCTGCGACGCCTTCGGAAAGTGGGGAGAACGAGGCTCATGACGATGCTGATGATACTGAAGAGGCTTCTGATTCTGGCGACGATGCCGGCAGAGATTCATCGTTTGCGCCTACGGACGACGTTGAGTCTGCCAGTGCGAATGAAAAGACTAATGGCACCCATGAGTCCTCTGCTCAGGGGAGTAGGGAGGATAGCGAGAAGCCGCAAGCATCAGCCGAGCAGGGCTCAGGAGGTCGTAGCTTGTTCGATCGTGTCGAGTACGACCAGGATGGAAAGCCCAAGCGCCAGGGAGAAGGTGACAAGAATGTCTCTTCATTGTTCGGTTCTTCCAAATTTGCGTCGTCGTTCAATAGCCCTGCATCTACCCCGAACCCGTTTGCTTCGCTTCAAACCCAGACTGATAAGTCCGACGACAACGCTGCGAACAAGGCGGCGCCAACCAATTTATTCGGAGGCTCCACATCGTCTCTTTCGGGCAATAGTACCCCTTCCATCTTCGGCACTGGGTCTGCAAAGCCTGGCACCGACAATACCTGGAAACTGAACACCCCCATAAAATTTGCGGCTGAACCTGCGGCTTCGGCCTCCGCGGCAAAGTCTGAGTCGGCTTCAACAGCTCCGGCTTCTGATTCCTCAAAACCCTTCTCAGCACTCTTTGGAGCTCCTTCGGCGAGTACCAAATCTGGTTCCGGTAACGCACAACCCACTCTGGGGTTCTCATTTGGGGCCCCCTCTCAATCAAGTTCTTCCTTCCCGACGCCATCTGTGCTTACTTCGGGCACTGCGAGCCGTGCCTCAACGCCCGGGGTCGCTTCTGATACAAACGCTGAAGAGTCTGCCGACGGGGAGGCTGCGGAGTCTCTACCTCAGGTTAATCTTGCTAGAAGCGGGGCTGGTGAAGAGAACGAGGATGTTGTTATTGAGATGAGAGCGCGCGGTATGAAGCTCGAATCCGGTAACTGGACTAGCCAGGGCGTTGGCTATCTTCGCGTTTTGAAAGATCGAAGCACATCTCGCGGCCGTGTCCTCCTTAGAGCCGACCCCAGTGGGAAGGTGGTCTTGAACACCGCATTGCAGAAACCAATCACCTACAATTCTAACGGAACAAGCGTGCAGTTTCCCGTGCCTAAATCCGAAGGACCTCCGGAATCGTGGGCTCTGCGGGTGAAGACGAAAGACGACGCAACTAAACTAGCGACTGCTATGGAAGAAACCAAATCATAATCGGTGAAGAGTTGGGGGGGAATTACACGACTGGACATGGACAGACATTATGCATTTCAACAGCTCCGTACTCTGCTTTCTACACTTTTTTTTTCTTTTTCCCTTCAAGGTTTTGCTGCGTCGCAGGCGCTTCTTGCAATGTACTATTTTGCCGCATGTTTTCTAGGATTCTCGAGTTTCTTTTCTACTCATGTCTTCTTTCAACAGGCGTGCATGCCGATATGCATCGGTTGGAGTTTGGCCCGGTACATTTGATTAGCTGTAGAAATGGACTTGTGTCATTATTGAGCTTTCTAGGTGGACAATTGTATGTATAAGCAGCATCCACGAATCGCCAATTCTTCTGGTTTACTGGTAGAGATCTCGCCCTTTCCGATGGTCTCTAGAATACCTTAGATTACATTGTTGTTTTATTTAGCCGCCGCTAATGCCGTGATAGATCAGTGTGCTGGAGGCTGGAGCTTTGCCCATTCATGTCGCCACTGGAGCCGCCGAGGAATTCCGCCGGGGATCAAAGCATTTTCTTTCAAGACATGGTTCAGCCAGTCAGACTGGTTGGATGTATGATAGACGCTGAGAATGTTGAAGCTCTCTGAGACAACCTGGAACATTATTCTTTCAGCAACACTGAGGCGTCCGGAGGCTGAGGGTCTAGAGTCTAGACAGAGAGCCCCCTGAACCTTAGGTAGACGGGACACGAGAGAGTGCACGGTCTGCCTTCTGGCTCGGCCTGGAAAGGAAATGGAGAAGAAAAGGGGTGTATTATCATAATCAAACGCAATAGTCTTTTCATTCTGTTTCCTTGTCAGATTCCTCAGTCAGTGTGTTTGTGTGTGTGTGTGTATGTTTTGTTTAGCGATCCCTTGGTTCCAGGTTCCAAACTCTTCGCCGTCGCCTTCGCCTTTTAACGTTCTCCCTCCCGAAGAACCAGAGTAAAACTCTTACTTTTTGTCGCCACGATATCCTAAATCTGGCAATACATATATAACGCCGGGGGAACCCAGAAACAGATTTAAAAAAGAAAAGAGGCTGACTTTGAATTTCGCGTCCTCTCGCCTGCCAATATAACCGCGTTCGGAAACCCGCGAATTCGCCGACTACCACCAGATTGTCGGGCACTGCAACGATTCCACGTCCGTCGCCGTTAGCAGCGCTTTACCATTTAGACCTCTGCGTGTCAGAGTTCAAGTGTGGTTCTTCAGTCTACAATATAACAGACCGTCCCGGTCACCGGTGGAAAAGATGTTTGAGGACTTCTCCTTCTCCTCCCCTTCCTCGTCCAGGCCGCCCCGCCTTGCCCTGGACGACGATCGCCTCATGACGGATAGCGACAGCATGATATCTCCCATGTCCTCGCGCTGCCCCTCGCCCCGGTCGTTCGCTGCGCCGCGTTTCCCTCATTCGCGCTCGTTCTACTTTCGGTCAGCTCAACAGCAGCCACCCACCTCCGTCCCGTTCTCCGCGTACGACCATCGTCTCTCCATCGGCACCCTCACTAGGAAACTCCACGAACACACAATCCAGAATCCCTCCACCGTTGAGCATACCTCTCGTCCTGACTCTCCAACATCAACGTCAAATTCCCGGTCGTCCTACTCCTCGCGCTTCCCAGGCTACGTCCTGACTCCCCCGGACACCGACCACGACGATGAAGGCTACGGGTCGCCCATCTCACCATCTCTCTCGCCGCAGCCACAATCTCCCTTCCTCAGCCCAACCTCCGCCCCGCTAGACTCCCAACCCGATCTCCAAATCCCAGCAGATCTCTCCGCAGACCCCTACTCCTCCTCCGTCCGCACCCGCCGCCAGCATATCACCCGTCTCCAGGTCCAGTACACGTCCTCTGACCTAGACGCCATTCGACACGCCCTCGTCTCGGCCACAGACGAGGACATTCGCAAACTCGACCCTCTCCTCACAGAATCCTGCCATCCATCCTCACTGCCACCGCCCAAGGCCCGGCGCCGAAGAACAGTCAGTTCACAGCGGTATCGTGTGCGATCGCCCGTTAGCCCGGACGCGCCTGCCTCTGATGATATATCACCACGCAGGAAGAGCACGTGCGGCGCGGGAACCTTGGCCTCGCATTCGGGCCGGGTCGAAAAGAACTACCAGACTTCATCGGGCCGGGACAGGAAGAAAAGCGAGGCCGGGCTAAGGCGGAGGAGTGTCGTTAGTGCCGCTTTGTCGTCTATGATGGAGCGGGAGGAGTAGTTTCATGCGAAACATCCCGGTGTCTGTCTGTATATAGGGGAACGAACCTTCAGGTGGTATGGAGATCGGTTAATGACCGTTCGACTGGGGTATATATATAGCTGTATCTATAGATGCAAGAATGGCTTCTTGAAGCCGACGTCATTGGATTATGTAGCATGAATCAGTAACAATACATATACAGAGTTCCTTTCTACATACTTACGGGTACCTATTTATCAATGTAGCGCCATGTCAGGGAAAAATAAATAATATTAAGAGGGACCCATTCATTAATCTCATGCTGTCTATCCTATGTATCGTCTAAAAGAAAGCAAAGAAGAAATAAAGACAGAAAAGAAAAGGGAGAATTTATTGATTTTTAATCGACAAAAAGGAAGGAAAACAAAAAGAATGACAAGGGTGGGATTCGAACCCACGCCAAATTAATGACGCGGAAACTTGAAATATCAAGATTAAAGGGATCCGAATTTGGAAAGCCTTAACCGCGCGCCTTAGACCGCTCGGCCACCTTGCCTGTTCGATACGAAGCTTATTTGAGTTAGTGCTATATAAGGCTTAATTCATTCCTTTTTGCTGGAATATGGAGTTAGGGTTGCTTTTCATTATATAGGTAGGGAGGGAAGGTAGAGTATCTCGTCCCCACACTCGAGCCTTTACTGTAGGTGAATATTTGGTTTTTCAGTACCTAAACTTTCTACTACACATACGGTTTTTCCTACTGGCGGAAAAGATTCAGTCGTTTGTGGGTGATGAACCAGAATAGCTATTGAAGTGTATGGTATGGTCGGGTAATGGGTCTGGATGTATATATAACAGGGGCTGTCGTTATCTATCTAATGAGGTTCTCTCACAGTACTTCCATTCTGATATACCACGACCACTGTGTTCCACGCTGCTGACACAGCATGATTCCGCCCTGGGAGCATGAGCTAAAAACATATATAGACTCGCTCATCCCCGTAAGACACCAATATCACAAGAGGACTACTACAGAATATCGCCGTCCATATAATAAGATATATCGAAGCTGATCAAGTAAGACCTTACCGTGTACCCCGGCTAGAGTAATATCAGAGACCTTGCTAGAAAAATACGCACTCGAGCAGGGTTACTAAGGAGGGGCTTTCTTTAGAAACGGGTATAACATACTGGTAGGTATGTAGCAGTGCAACAAGCATGTACCGAACAATTTTATTTCTGGTGGCCGGATGCGCACAACAGCCCTTTTTTTTTTTTTTTTTTTTTTTTTTTTTTTTTTTTTTTTTTTTTTTTTTTTTTTTTTTTAAATGTACCTACCTGGGTACTAAATGAAACTAAAGAACTGAAAGGAGTTGGTACCAATGCAGGTCGGCTGCTAAAGTAACATCTGACCAGGCAAAGCCGCCACGGTATGGTTCCCAGCAATCCAGCAATCACATGAAGAGACCTAATGACGGGCCCAGATTGTTCTCGAGATTGGTTTAATTCAAGTTCGGGATAGGTAGACTAACCAGGCCAAGCATGAGAGTAAAAGGATTTCGCCTCCGGCATAATATTGGACTGGCAACGGTACCCTTCATTACAACCATATATCCAGGAGCCTCCTTCACCTGCCTTAAGAAATACTTTGAGGACAGAAGCAGAGGCAGCTAAGAAGTCCAAAAGAGAATTCAAAAACATACAACAGTAGGGATTCGCATGTGGTCACCCACCATACTACTAACCTACCGGCGTGTGGCTTAAGTACGGCTGAGCGGACGGGAAGCCCTGTTCTCCACACCCTATGGTCGTATGTACTTATTCCTGGCTTGCTACGGCATATAGACATTACGACTCTCAAAGAGCTGCCGCAGGAATTTGTATTTTGTTGACTGAAAGTGGGGGCGAGTTAGGGCATTCTATTTCCTCTAACGGTTGTGTATAAAGAACCTTTAGCCATTGCATGGGATGGATGAATCTTTATGTCGCATTGGACAGGATGGTCAGCGCGTTTAAATAGTAGCAATAGATAAGCCACAGGATGTATATTTGCTTCTATTGTGTCTTGTAAATACACAGCGCATTTATATCTAAACCTGCGCCCGATTACTGGCAGAACCGGGTGCGAAATCTGGCTGCCCGCCTTGTTGCTCATCGATCAAGACCTTCATACACCTTTATATGAAGACGATAAACAAGTTTCCGCGGAAAACGGAAGACAGACTGGAGTATCCAGTTGGTCACTTGTCACTATCCCTAGCTAGTTTTCTCCATCTCATCATCATCATGAGGTTATGATCATGATATTACTACACCAAGTGAGGATACGAGTAGCATATATCGCATTATCTTCGAATTATTACTCAACAGTACCTAGGGGCAGGTGAAGCTGAGTTCAGAGTTTGTTGCTAAATCTAGGTACTCCAATAACACCAACTCCAACCCTCGCATTCAATGCAATCTATGATCAAGATGACTGGGCTACTATTTGCTAGTTCTTACTTCCCCCAACCTCATCCAGCTGAATCCCCTCTTAACTTCTCTCCTATACTAAGAGCACAATACACAGCTAAGAAAAACTGGGTACTGATGTCCGTTATTCATCCAACAATCTAGCAAGCTCCGCCCCCCAGCCACTAATCTGAATTTCCGTGTCAGTCATGATAATTCTCATAAAGGATGATCGAGCTAGTGAACTTACCATCGGAGGCAGCATCATAGAGAAATGATTGCCGTTGACTCGGACCACCTTCACGGTGTCCAAAAACTCGTCCCACCCGAACGATCCCTCATCGGTCCGATCATCCAGGAACCAATTCATGGCTGTCTGCTCCCCTGCCAAAACCATGGGACGAGCCATCTGATCCAGCTTATTTATTCCCTCTCTAGCGGAGAAGAGTACCACCTGCGGCATATTTCGTCCCGGCAGTCTGCGCACTTGGTATTTCCTGATCTGCTGCCGGGCCAAAAGGAAGTGATCACTCGCCAACAGCTGGCCTCGACGGTTGGCTCTCAACTCGCTCCCGTTCGCCACGGACACCTGCTCGATGGAATCAAGGAACTGGACAAGAGCGTCCGGAAAGTCGCGCACAAATGTGGGACATGCAGTATCGATCAGAAACAACTTCTCGATTTCATTGTCGTCTTCGAGAAGTTGTCGTGCGACCTCAAAGGCCAACACCCCGCCAACGGAATACCCGCCGAGTAAGTACCGGCCCTCAGGCTGTCGGCGCTTGATTTCAGCCACGTATGTGGCGGCGAGCTCCTCGATCGTGAGAACCTCGTCTGAATCAGGCCTGCTGTGCAAGAAAGGACTATTGAGGGCGTAGACAGAAACGTCCTTGACGCGATTGAGTAGCGGTCCAACAGCGCTGAACACGGCCCCGGAGCCGAACCCGTCTGGAATCAGGAACAAATTCCGGTCCCCGGATGCAGAGATCCCACGGTGTAAGAGCATCGAGGTGGCTTCTGCCGGGCACTTTCTCTCGGGCGCCGTCGTCATCCCGCAAACCACTCGGACGGTCCGGGACTCCCGACTGGCACCTTCAGACCAATCGACATACGCAAATCCGGCATCCTGCATGGCGCGCTCCCAGGCCCACGGGCTTTGCAGCGCGTACGTGCGGCCATCATCAAACAGCCACCATCCGTCCAGCAAGCCCCAAACCAGTTCGAACCAGGCCAGCTTCTGTGTCGATTCCACCAGCGCCACGCAACCGCCGTTGGGTGACACTAACCTGCAGATGTTGGCTAAGCCGCGCTGCAGGTTGTGCGTCGCGTGCACACAGTTGCTCGACACCACAAGGTGGTAGCGTCCCAGTAGCTCCACGGGAGGGTCCTCCTCGACGTTGAGTTTCCGGAACTCCATGCCCTTGATGTCCCTGTATCTCGCCTTAGCCCGGGCCAGCAGTGACGTCGAAATATCAGTAGATGTGTAGGTGAAAGAAAGGCCGCTGCGTTGAAGCAGTGGTAGGAGATGCTTGGTTGTGCCGCCGAACCCGGCACCGATCTCGAGCACATGGAAGGGTTCGCCGGCCGGGGCCCGAGAGTCCAAAACCTCGGAGAGGAAGTCACAAAGCACGTGGGTGCCAGCTAGTAGGGTGGGGGCGTTGGTATAAAAATCCTCAAGAAGCTTGCTGCCCTTCTTACTGGCGTATAGGATGGAGGTCGGCTCGGCCTTTCCAGTGAGGCACTCAGCCAGGTGCGGTCCAAGAATATCAGGTAGACCGTGCGTGGATGCGTACAGAGGAAAGTTGGCGATGAGCTCAGCGCTCAGCTGCTCGGCTGATTTGCCTTTAGTATGATCGCCAAGAGGCACTGGGCCTCGTAGGAAAGAGTCTCCTTTTTTTTCGGCGACGCCGGCTTCTTCCAGGATCTCATAGAGTCGGGAAACCTCTCTTTGGTACTTCGGCAGCGTTTCACGCAGAGGAGGAAGTTTTTCTCCAGGGCTGAACTCGCCGAGAGCACATCCAAGCTTCTCAAATGCTTCGATGATGAAGGCTGTAACAGAGCTTAATGACTGCGGGTATACCTCGTCCCAGTAGCCAGTCAGGTTGACATCTTTCGCATGGGCATCAAAGCGGCGGCGAATCTTGTTGAAAGCTGTATGGATCAAGCCCGTATCGTCAGCGATTGGTGTTGTGGGGGCCGTATAACCGTCTGGCGTTGCCGGGTTGCTCGCCATTGAATCGGAGCTTGCGCGAGATGAACCGTCTGATGAACGGATGGGGAGAACCTTCATTGGCAAACGGCCCTGAGCGCGCGCAATCAAATTGCCAAGAGACATTACATCTGTCATTGAAGCAAAGTCGGTCGATGATATAGTTACGTTGAAGGCGTTATTGATGCTGCTGACTATCTCCGCTGCAACGAGCGAATCCGCGCCGAGCTCCTTGAGGTCTGAATCCAGCTGTATCTCTTCCACTGGTATATCGAGGGAGTGACTGAGGATCCTGGAAAGAGTCTCCTGCCAGCCTTGAATTTCATCAGCTGTCTCATGCACGAGATCCAGCCCTTGAACCCCATTTACTTGGCCGCTCGAATCAGCGGCATCGCCGCCCAGACAGGTAGATATCATGCCACATAGAGATGCCACATCTGTTGCTGAGGCAAGATCCTCGACTGAGACATCGACGTGGAGTGTATTATGAATACTTGCCAGAATTTCTGAACTGATCAGTGAGTCTACATCGAGCTCCTCGAGTGATGTCTGTTTGGTAATATCTGTGACGGGAATGTCCAGCGTTTTGGATAGGATTTCCTGGACGCTGTGAAACGCATCTGGTGCATCTCTATCAACGCCCTTGGTTATCCCAGAGTTAGTAACAAAATTCAATGGAGGAGGCTTCCCAGACACAAGACTGTCCACGGCCTGTGGCGGGTCTGCAGCATCACTGCCCGTCGGGCTGGAATTCGCTCCTAGCAGCACTTTGGCCCGAGGCGCCCGGGATACCTTCGAAAATGTGATCCCACTGGCAGACAAGACAAGATTCATCGTCTTTGTGTCGAACGCAAAATACGTCCAGGACCGTCTCATTCGAGTTTTCGCGCACAATC